CATTCATCCATCTGTCCATCCATCTCTCTGTCCATCCATCCACTCATCCATTCATCCATCTGTCCATCCATCCATCCGTCTGTCCATCCACTCATCCATCTGTCTGTCCATCCATCCGTCTGTCCATCCATCCATCTGTCTGTCCATCTGTCTGTCCATCCATCCGTCTGTCCATCCATCTGTCTGTCCATCCATCCACTCATCCATCCATCCACTTATTCATCCGTCCGTCTGTCCATCCATCTGTCCATCCATCTGTCCGTCCATCCATCCGTCGGTCCATCCATCCATCTGTCTGTCCATTTCCACTCATCCATCCATCTGTCTGTCCATCCATCCACTCATCCATCCATCCGTCTGTCCATCCATCTCTCTGTCTATCCATCCACTCATCCATTCATCCATCTGTCCATCCATCCATCCGTCTGTCCATCCACTCATCCATCTGTCTGTCCATCCACTCATTCATCCATCCATCTGTCCATCCATCCACTCATCCATCCATCCATCTGTCCATCCATCCATTTACCCACTTCTTCTTTTTCAGCTCGCGGGGTCACCGACTTGTCGACTTATAAACCAGACAGAGAAAGAGCAGCTTGTTCCTTAAAATAATTAGTTATTACATGAAGTAAAGAACCTCCATGAAGTTTAAAATGTTCTGTGTGGAGTCACATCTCCACCGTGTGTGTGCTGATGGGATGTCCACATCCTCTGTCTGGACCCTGGAATGTTTGGATCGAATGTTTTTCGTAACGAGTCATAAAACGTGACAAAGTCTTTTTGTTTCTTGTTAATTAATACGAATATAATAATAATAATAATCTGCAGCTTTTAATTATTTTCACTGCTGCAAAAACAGATTTGAGCTGTAGCACTTCTGCAGCCCCCCCCCCCCCCCGAAAATAACAACAATTTTCAAATTATTGTCAGTGAACCTCGTTATCCACGTCTTTCAGATGAAAGACGAAACGTTTCTACATTTTTCATTGTTTTCTTGTTTGAACCCGTCCAGAGGACCAGATTGAACTTTTGTACGTTTTTGGATCATTGAGCAGCTTCAGGACACTTTTATCCGCAGCTCTCAACCGTTAGTCAAATGTTGTTTTGAAACTTTGCTTCAAACTAAACTTGATCAGAAAGTAACAAAAATAATGTTTCTATTGACTGATAAAAGTTGATGCTCGTTCTGGAGAAAAGCAGAATAAAAACATTTGCAGAGAGTTTCTTTGTTCCAGCACGTGAACGTAAATGTGCGTTTTGAACCCCGACGTTTAGATTCTCCTGAACGTTCTAAAACTCAACCCGTTGTGGTGAAACTGGGTTGTTGTGGAGGGCAAGCTCTTCACTGAAGACAGCAGCCTGCTCAAGTCCTCTCTGGTTTCACAGCCCAAACTTTGACTCCATCTGCGCCTCGGTCGGTTTTGAACGTTTTGTTGTTGATGTCGTCTCTGCAGGACGTCAAAGCCTGCGTGGACGACCTGAACAGTCTGCTGAGCGTGGAACCAAAGAACGTGGCCGCCCTGAAGCTGCTGCAGGAGGTGCAGAAGAAGAAATGAGAAGACGTCCGGGGCTGTGCAGGCAGCGGCGAGGATCCGTCGCTGCGCCGGCGGCGCTGCTTCACCAGCCAGTGTCTTCGAACCCGACGCTCGAAGGAACCAGATCTCGGCCTTGTCCGGTTGGTTCGTACCGAGCTCAGCTGCGGATGAAGACACTTTCATTATTTATGGTTATTTATGCTAGCAGAAATCAGCGACGCATTCTAATAATTCAAAGAAGAAACCTTCATGATCCTCACGGAGACGCCTGAAGTTCAGCCGACAGGAGCCGAGGACAGATTTTTATTTAGGAACAGAAATTAAATAGAAACATTAAAAAACTCCAAAAATCACTGATCTTTGAAGATTCAGTTCTTAAACTCAACAAATTCTCCAACCTCCCATCAAAAGACTCTTGTATTAATTATATAATATCAAAAGTAAGCAACGAGCAGAAGTCCAGCTGTCTTGCATGAGTCGGCCTAAAACAAGTTTAGCTTTAATCATCACTTTGTGGTCACTCTCAAACATATTTTGTAGCTTTTAGGTGGATTTACTCAGAATAAATAACAATACGAGAATATTTCTTATATTTCAGTGTTTCCCCTGGGTAACTTGCCATGGCGGGGTGCTCATTTCAGGGGGGGGTGGGGGGGCGGAGACATGTTTGAGCGCAGCTTGTAGCAATAGTTTTGAGCGGAGGGGGGTGCAGTGAGCATGAGGGAAGAGGCGCCTTTAGCTTTTTAGCTAGAGTGCCTGTATTGCATGCTGCTAGCTTAGGGGGCCGAGATGGTGTAGAGGCAGGGCAGCCGGCTTGGGACCCGAAAGTCCCAGGATCGATCCCCAGTCACTGCACATCACGTGGGGTCTCTGGGCAGCACGTCTCATCCCCAAAATGTCCCCCGGGCGCTTTCAATAGCTGCCCACTGCACCACCTGGTGGTGGATGGGTTAAATGCAGAGACTAATTTCGCCATTGTATGGAAACATACAGTGCTGACATTGTGATGACATTATTATTATTATTATTATTATTATTATTATTATTATTATTAGGGGGCCGTGTTCGGTTTGGGAGGTGGGGTGTTCAGTCCTGTTGATGGGGTGGTGCCCCCCCCGTATAATGGTAGGGGAAACACCGTATTTAGAAAAACTCAAATATATGAAAATGTTAATTTAAACATGCAGCTGCAGAGTGTTTTTGTAGTTTCTAATCGTTTCTTTAAATTTGTTGCGTGTTTGTGTCCATCAGACATGCTGTGCTGCTGCAGGTTGTGGAAGTTTCAGCTTTATAGTTTTTGTCAAATTAAATTCAATTTAAGGCAAACGACAAATGATCAACAACAGATTAATTTGGACTCTCAGTAGAAATGTTGCCAGAACAATAAATCTGGACCCGTACGACTCACTGAACACGTCATGTTTGTTCAAAGCATCTGTCTAAAGCTGCACGCCTTCAGTTTGTGAGAAACAAAAAATGTGCAAACACATGATTCATTGAAAAACATAAGCAGAGGACAGACTTAAAGACACGTATTCTTTACATCGTCGTGTCTTCATCGTTGTGTGTCGTCATCGTGTGTCGTCGTCATCGTGTGTCGTCGTGTGTCGTCATGGTGTGTCGTCATGGTGTGTCGTCATCATCGTGTCGTCATC